GTGTGAGTGTGTGTTTGTGTGCGTGTGTCTGTGTGTGTGTGTGTGTGTGTGTGTGTGTGTGTGTGTGTGTGTGTGTGTGTGTGTGTTTTATTTTGCGTTACGTGGCTCCTGCGACCGTGTCACAGCATGTTGCGCCATAGGTCGTGGCAGACACAAACAACACCCGTGGGACCCGAGTCACATACCATCAAGGAGATTGACAAGTGAGATGACAGTTAAGCGATAGGAAAACAACAAAGGCCAAGAAGCGTTCCAATTACCATAAAAGATGATGCATGAGAAAAAATGGACAATACACACATCTCACCAAGACGAAGCCAAACAATCAAAAGCGACCAGGTCAATGCCATTTCGAAGGGCTGAAAAACTCAACACTAACAAGCGGGTGCAAATACCATGGCAATAAGAAAAACACAGACCATCATCGGACATGGGTAGAATCAACAAGGCTCGTGATGAAAAACAACGGGAGCCAATGGCTGGACAATCAATCACGAATCCGTTCGGCAACAGAAATCACTCATCCCGGAGTTACCAAGAAATGGGACTAAGTGAATACGGCTTCAACGACCATTCGCCCGCCAGCGCCATGGTTAATATTCCATCCTCGTCACAAGCACCATGTGGAAGGGATACACTCGTCACCGTCACCATCATGGCACTAATCCAGGAGAAAAATGATGGGGAATGCACCCATACACTCACAACCACCTCCGTCGTAAGTTCATGCGCATAGTGATTAAAGACAAAGCAACCAAAGACCGCAGCGGCGATTGTCGAGCACACCGATCCTCTCGATCCATGGTGAACATCGACGAATAAACCATGCGCAGAGCTTTTAGCAAAACCACTAGAGCACAAGCAGTTGCCGCTACAAATTGATACTGCTGTTATCAACACACTACCTCCCCCCACACCCAATCGGCACAGAGTATGGACAAGATCGTCTCAAACCCTTTCCACATTCATACTCGCTCACCCACGTACACCGCTCCAGCAATCGCTGCCGTTGAAACACCTCCCCGAATCCAAGCCTAATGACAACTGATAAATGCGATTTCGATCGATCCGCCCCATCCTTTCAAACTCCCGCGTATCCCCTGGTCCGCCCGTCCCTTAGGCGCCGTAAGCTCGTTCCTCGCCAAAACAAATGAACCACGATCGAACCCGTACCCCCCATCCTTCCAACCCCCACCGCCATCCCTACCCTCAGCACCTGGACGTGGACCCATGGTCACCTCATGTCCCCATGTGTCACACCCTCTGCTACCCTTAATCATCCGGCAACCACCCATATACCTAGGAAAAACTCTTCTCAACCTGGTACCATATCACCGCGTGGAGTAGGGGTAGGCGATGCACTAATAGAGGACGCATTGGCCAATACGAGGTCGCACGAGGACTGCCGCCATTACCCAGAGGCAGATGCTGTGCCCAAACAGCCAGAAGGAAGAAGCAATCAAGCCAAGAATACATGGGAGAGGAAGAGAAGGGGGGGCACTCGTGCAGACCGCTGTATGTTGGGAGCAGGCAGACCAAACAGCCATAAGCGACAACCCGGGAGAGAGGAGCACGAAAACGGTGGAAAGAAGGAGGGGGAAGCAGAGGAGGAGTGCCGGCAAAAGGGGGGCCGGAACCCTTGTAACCTCCATCCTGTGTCGGCAGAAACGAAGCAGAAAACTCCGATGAAGCACCACACCCAAAGCCAGTCCAGAGACACCAACCAGGACCCTCATGCCCTACACCATCTCGAGGGAAGAGGAAGAACCGACGAGTTACGAGGGCATTCACTAGCTTGAAACGAGCGAATGAACTGGAGGTCGAGAAACGTCAGGAACGCTAAATAAGCCATAAAGGCCAGAGCGAAGACGAACGCCAAGTGAGCGGCCATCAGTAACTCCATTCCGACTCGAAGCTCCTAGTCGAATCTGAGTGGCGATGCGTATAGAAGAGCCTAGGACCACACATCATCCGATAACACGCACGGCAAGCATACGCAAACACAAAACAACAAAACAGCAAAATAGCACGAAAAAGTTGAGAAAAACAGAGTGAGTAGCATCAGGTAGGTACATCATGACAAATCATGGGGGGGGGGGAATACATTCGGGAAGGAGAAGGAAGAGAGAGAAGGTCCCAATTCGGTCAAGCGGCCCTGATGCGCCATTGAATGTAGAGAGGGTTAAGTACTTTTCACCGACTTCCATCCCGTCGGATCTTCAGAGAACTAAACCTCTCCCATGTCAAACCAAAAGGGACAAGAACCCTGATCGGGCATGGCCCGGGTTCCAATAAGACAAAGAGATCCGTTATGAGTCATGACAGGGGCACACAGGGTGGCACCGCAGCGGGGGGAGGGGGGAGGGGGGAGG